TCTCTGGTAGTGACACAGAAAGACTGACTCGTCAAACTGAAATTCGTTCTGAACCTACGGTTAAATTAATAAATTTATATTAATATTTGACACTATGCCGTCCGCAGATCTTAGATATGATTCTTCTATTTGACACCGGCATAATAGCTTGGAAATTTTAGATTTTAAAAAAAATTTCGAAGATGGCGGTAATATAAATTCCTAAAATTAAGATAAGTCATCCAAGAATTTTCGTACTCAATTCTTAGTTAAATAAGCACAATGCTATAGTTAATTTGCTGCCTTTTAACACCCAAGAAATATAGTTCAAATGTTACTTCAGATTTCTAAAATGGCACCAAAGTGGTACCACCGGCATACAACAGATAGTTTTTGCATGACACCAGCGTGGTGCCACCGGACGGCATAGTGTCAATAAATTAATAAAAAAAAAACGGCGGTTATTTGCCGACACTCGTCCGCAAAGGGTTAATACGTTTATCGAACCTTTCAAAATTATTAAATACTATCTGTGCATTATCAAAAATATAAATTTTAAAAATTCATAACACAAATACCATTCATTTCTTCGTTTAATAAACAAAGTCATATTATTGGGAACTATATGTACATTACTTTATTCTTAGTTTCACAAAGTCAGACAATATTATAATGTCATATTTACAATACACTTTGAAGCTATGTATATGTTAACATTATTTACCATTAACTATATTTTTATCAACGTTGCCGCTTTTTGTTAATAAAGGCATGTATACAAGGATTAAAGCATTACCCTTTTTCTTTTCATCAATACAGTCTCCTTGTAGTCTTCCTCTCACAGTTTTTATTATGGTTTCCTGAAAAATCAGTATGTACATATATGTAGGTAGATGTGTGTCAAAATTAATAGCATAATTTATTATCAACAAAGATTTTAAATTATAAACACTAAAGTAAAAGAATATTCATATAAAGAATTCTATGATTTCATTGTAAATTAGAAGAAATTTCAAGGGTTACATTTAAATTTGCAAAAAAATAGGTTGTTTTAACATTTTATTAAAAATTTAAAGTTAGAGATATTGAAACAATAGGTATATTATAATATGCCTACAAGAAAAAGTGTTTAAATTCCATTTCTAAACTGTAGAAGATTAACTCTTTACACTGAGGGGACATCATATATTTAACATCACGTGGATGTTGCCTCTGATGGGACATCAAAGTTTATTAGTAATTACGGAAAATGAATTTATATTCCACCGCAACTTCTTCAAAAATGCACGTTTCCCTAAAGTTTTCTATTGAAATGGCACAGGAAAGCAAATGATGATTACTAGATGATTACTAGATGCATGTTTTTGCAACAAAGTGGCGCCAAGTTGCTGATAAATAACATCTGGGATGGCTCAGAGTACAGAAGGTTAATAGATTATTTAATAGCTCCAAATTCTTTGAACCTCCAGAAAGAGAAAATTATGAATTATGAAATTATGAATTTCATGAATATTGTTACATTATAATGTAATGTATTTCAGTATCTTTAACAGCCCTTTTTATAAAATATTGAAACTGCTGATCGAATTCAAAACCACCCACTTTGGAAAAGTAATAAACATCTGAAAGTGTTTGGAATATTGAAGTTTATATTGATTATCATAAGCATCTGAAGTGAATCTACTCTTTTGATTCCGCTACCTCTTAAGAAATGTAGTGTCCAACAAATGAATGATTTTTTTACCTTATCAACATTATCAGTTGGAAATGTGATTACAAGTTTTATCTTATAATTTTTCTGTAGTAACTTATTGATGTTGTCTAGTTTGATTATTAAATCATGTTCAGAAATTTTAGATTGCATTTGAAAGTATTTGGTACTTTTGAATTTGTGATTAGTGTCCTTTGTGGTATCCTTGTTAGATTTGGATCCAAAGACATCTATTTTATCACAAAGTTTGTAAACATCTCTCGCATCTGTATCAACATATGATTCTTTTACTAAGAAGAAGTTACGACTCTTAGCAATTCTCTGAGCTCGTTCCAACAGGGTAATGGTTACAGTCCCATCAGGATGAACAAGCCTAATGTTCGGTATTCGTATAGTTCTTTTCCTCTCTTTACTTGGTTCTTCTATGCCAAAATTTGGATCAGAGATTTCTTCAAAATACCTTATTTGGAATTTCATATGATTGGAACACATATTTTCGTAAATTCTACATGATGTCCTCCTCATAAATAAATTATAAATATGAAACATAAATTTATCAGTTCTTAAAGAATTTATCATTTCACTGATATTTTACACATTCAGAATTTGAACATTCCACCATAAAATTATTTCAAATTGTATATGCCAAATGAGGTTATGTGTATTATTGATCTGTGATGTTCATGAAAACGCGGTCCATACATACAGCTTTGTTCTCAAATATTTTCGGGTAATATGTAAACGCATAATTAAAACACAGTTAAAATTCTGTTACATAAAATGCTAACTTATATGTAGTTACACAAAACTGAATCACGAGATATTTACATATCAAATTTTTTTGCGAAATCAATTTCAATTACACGTTAAAATAATACATAGTTATAAGTTACTATTACAAAATAAATTTATACTATAGTACAATTGCATTTCTCGAAATTAAGAATACAATTAACAATGTATGTACATACATGCATGCACATATAAGGCCTGTAATGTTGCAATAGTAAGAACAATTAAATTACTATTTAGTCTAATGATGTATCATTGATAACGATTGCAGATTGAAATTTAAAATCATCATGTAAAAATTTTTTAATTGATTTTGGATAGACGTTATCATTTCTCGAAACTTCTTTCAAATTCTCGGTTCTTTCGTTTCATGTATGTTTGCCCTTAAATCTGATGTATATATGTTCATATGTAGACATATACGTATGACAACATTAAATTCATTGATCCATCAGGTTGCGCTGCGATTGGGTAACCTGTTTCGATCACGTTATTGCAGAGAAACCGACCAATAAGGAGCGCTCCTTTTCATGTGTGAGTGTACGTATATATTTAGTAGCGGAAACATTGCCTAGTCGGCCGTTTCCGTCTTCCCAGTGCCTGTCAGCCATTACAGCTCTGCTCGCCGGGTCTTGCAGGGTAAGTTACTTCAGCTATTTTCCATTCCTAAACTTGTTCATTTCTTTGTCATTTCGTACAAAGTCACTAAAAAACAGCCATACCATTCTTGATAATTGAAGCGAAAGATTTTACAAGCATTTGTTCTTATACGCAGGTGTAACTGATACAGCTGACATAGTTTCTGAAAAATCGAAGATTGTCCTTAAGGAACGGGTAGTGTGTCAGGAAACAGGTTCGCCTAAACGCTCGTCCAGATGTATAACAATAGTTACTCCAATCACAGTAGGTATGTAATATTCCATGATTTCTCATATTCGAAATTAAATTAAATTGTTAAATCGTGAAACCGTGTAAACGTTTTTTGCAACGTCGTGTTTTCCACCATTTTGTTCTCGAACACTCTGCACCGCCAAACTTATTGAATTACTTAATAAATCTTCGAAATTATATTTGAAAATGATTACAAAATCTGGTATTACGAGATACGATAAAATTTTTTATGGAAAATTATAGTCCTGAAGTGGTGATGAATTGGAGGTCTGAAATTATCACTTTAAAAAATAAAAATGGCGACTTGGTTGTCCTATAAATTGCTGACAAGCACACAGTTGAAACGTAAAAAGCGATTATCATATGTGAATGTTTATATATTTTCTTCGCGTATCAATGTATAATGCAAATTATTATTTATAATTATTGTATTTATTGATGTCATGACAATTTTCAATTTTTTTATATTTAATAAAATGCGTATGAAAAAATTAATATTATATTTAATTAATATAATATAAATGTAATTAATAAGTGTTATATTATTTGACCCTTCAATAATTACTATTGATCAACCCTCGAACAACGGATATGTATTCGCACGCACGGCGAATACAGGGTCATAAATGACCCAGTAGTAAAATTATTTCAGTACATATTGTAAATCAAAATTATATTACATTAGATAGTACATTATCAAACTGCATAACATTAAAATAAAACACATTTATAATGAAATAAATAAAATAAAACATTTTTAGTGCAAACAAATAATTCTCATTAATTATGGAGAAGTTGCTACACAATGTATACAAACCCGTTCATTCGCCGTCAGAAGGTTAAAAAAAGAAAGATAATTTATAAATTATATTTTCATCTTTTATTTCAATAAAATAAAAATATTCAATACATGCAACAAAATTATACTAATTCACTTTTCAAATTGGAGTAATTAATTGCATTTTCATTATATCTGATTGTTTTTTCAACAACGATTTTGTTGTAACTTTTTTTCTAGTATTATTTAGATTCCATTGTAGAAGTATTTCCAAATTGATTTTATATTAGGGGGACCGGAAAGTTATGTCGTNTTCGCGTATCAATGTATAATGCAAATTATTATTTATAATTATTGTATTTATTGATGTCATGACAATTTTCAATTTTTTTATATTTAATAAAATGCGTATGAAAAAATTAATATTATATTTAATTAATATAATATAAATGTAATTAATAAGTGTTATATTATTTGACCCTTCAATAATTACTATTGATCAACCCTCGAACAACGGATATGTATTCGCACGCACGGCGAATACAGGGTCATAAATGACCCAGTAGTAAAATTATTTCAGTACATATTGTAAATCAAAATTATATTACATTAGATAGTACATTATCAAACTGCATAACATTAAAATAAAACACATTTATAATGAAATAAATAAAATAAAACATTTTTAGTGCAAACAAATAATTCTCATTAATTATGGAGAAGTTGCTACACAATGTATACAAACCCGTTCATTCGCCGTCAGAAGGTTAAAAAAAGAAAGATAATTTATAAATTATATTTTCATCTTTTATTTCAATAAAATAAAAATATTCAATACATGCAACAAAATTATACTAATTCACTTTTCAAATTGGAGTAATTAATTGCATTTTCATTATATCTGATTGTTTTTTCAACAACGATTTTGTTGTAACTTTTTTTCTAGTATTATTTAGATTCCATTGTAGAAGTATTTCCAAATTGATTTTATATTAGGGGGACCGGAAAGTTATGTCGTTTGTTTACATTAAATTCAAACAGATAAATATGCGCAGAAACGACATTGCTTTCCGGTCCCCCTAATACAATCATAAATTAAATTTAATCTTGCATGTATTGGTATCAAAAATGTATACAGAATTATTATATAAAAATAATAAATAGGTTACAATAAATATTATATAAATAAATATAATAATTATAAATACAATTGTTATATGAAACAATAAATAGGTAATTGTTATTCTTGTAAGCACAAAAATATAAAATAGTGTATAAGCACTTAATACCATTTAAAAAACTAATAGTCTATAAATGATTCAATATTAGTGATCAAAACCACTGATATATTCTGGAAATGGTACATTTTAGGCCCAGAGGTAACCGGGACTCTGGTAACCGCAATGGAGGTGGTACATATTGGAACAGCCAGCAACAAGCACAGAAAGAAAAGGCTGTCAAAAAGCAAGCTCAAAGGAAGACACCAGGAGATCTGCTGAAAAAACCCAACTGGGATTTAACCAAGTTACCTGTGATCACGAAAAATTTGTATATTCCACATATCAATGTTTTGAAAAGGACAACAGAAGACATTGCAAAGTATCACATTGGCAAGGAAATTACAGTCAAGGGAAAGAACACACCTTCTCCAATCCAAGCATTCGAAGAAAGTAACTTCCCAGATTATGTAATGGATGAAATCAGGAAGCAGGGCTTTGCTGAGCCAACAGCAATTCAAGCACAAGGCTGGCCAATCGCTCTCAGTGGGCGCGATTTGGTTGGAATCGCTCAAACAGGATCTGGAAAGACTCTAGCAGTACGTGTTTCACTACGACTTAATTAACATTAATTTTGTATAACTATAAAATTTGTTTCAGAATCTCATATTATTGTATCTAATATTAACATATTTGTATGAATGACACTAAACAAGAGTGTTGTTACGTGTGTTTTCAGTATATCCTGCCAGCGACAGTGCACATTAATAATCAGCCTCGATTGAACCGTGGGGATGGTCCAATCGTATTGATTCTGGCTCCGACGAGAGAGTTAGCTCAGCAAATTCAGACAGTTGCTCGTGATTTCGGATCCTCGTCATGCATTCGCAACACATGCATTTTCGGTGGATCCCCAAAAGGGCCACAAGCCCGCGACTTGGAACGAGGCGTTGAGATCTGTATCGCAACACCTGGCAGACTGATCGACTTTCTGGAGAAGGGAACGACGAATCTTCGCAGATGCACATACCTGGTTCTGGACGAAGCGGATAGGATGCTGGATATGGGATTCGAACCACAGATCCGCAAGATCATCGAGCAGATAAGACCTGACAGGCAGGTGCTGATGTGGTCTGCGACATGGCCGAAGGAAGTACAGGCTCTGGCCGAAGATTTCCTCTCCGATTACATTCAGATCAATATTGGATCCTTGACGCTTGCCGCCAATCACAACATTCGCCAGATCGTGGAAATCTGTTATGAGCACGAGAAGGAGATGAAACTCTCAGGCCTGCTTCGAGAAATCGGCAAAGACCGAGGTAGCAAAATGATCATATTTGTGGAAACAAAGAAGAAGGTGGACGACATCACCAAAGCTATCAAGCGGGAGGGCTGGCCGGCCATATCTATTCACGGAGACAAATCTCAACCAGAAAGAGACTACGTTTTGTCCGAGTTCAGGAGTGGTAACACCATGATTCTCGTCGCCACCGACGTGGCTGCTCGCGGCCTTGATGTGGAGGACGTGAAGTATGTGATCAACTTCGATTATCCAAATAGTTCCGAGGACTACATCCATCGAATTGGAAGAACCGGACGTTGCCAAAGTGCAGGCACAGCGTACGCTTACTTCACGCCTAACAACGCAAGACAAGCGAAAGAGTTGATCTCCGTTTTGGAGGAAGCCGGCCAAGTGATCAATCCGCAGTTGGCAGTACTAGCAAATTCGATGAAGAATCAATACGGAAAGGGCCGCCAGCGTTGGAGTCACTCCCGTTCCAGTAAAGACAATAACTCCGTCAGCCCCAGGAACAACAGCAGTCCGACCGCGAACAGTTGGCAGAACCAGCAGTGCCAGGTTAGTCAGCTGAACCACAACAATATCAACAGCCAGGAGAGGACCGTTGTTCGGCATCAGAACGGATATCAAAACAGCCGTCAGAATAATTACCAGCCTACCTACCAGCAACAGCAACACCAGAGACAGCCGAACGCTTACGCCAACAGCTGTCCAACCAGCAGCAGCAACTACCAAACTGGATATCAGAACGCGACCATACCCAGATACCATGGCAGAACTGGTACCTTCCAAGGGAACCGTTATCACAACCGGCAGAACACGTACAGCAGCAGCCAAACTGGAGGTCAGGGTGTCTATTCGATGCCACCGCCGTTCATGATGCCGTCTAACGGGCACACCGATTCTGGGATGCAGAGCCTGGTGAACAACAAGTTCTTCCAAACGAACCGACCACCGCCGAACACCGGAGCTTGTGCTTACCAGTCGATGGGTTACGGCCAGTTTCAAGCTGTGCCGCCATACAGTTACCCTTACCCGCCTACACCAGTGCAGCAGTGACGCTTTTCACGGTATAAATCGGTAAGAGTGCAGGCTAAGTAAGAGATCAATTTTTTCTGTCTACATTGGGCCCATTTAATGTTTACGGTTTGTGTAGGTTGGGTCTCCTTCGAATATATGCATAACATAATGTTTCTTCTTTTCTTTATTATTTATCATTTTCTGGAATGTTGCCGCAATCGGGAACCATCCGATCAAACGTTGATTTCGGTTGTTCCGATCGGGGGAAAAAAAAAAAAGAAACCACACCGGCACAGTGAACAAAGAATCAAAAAGTACATTGTTTATTCCTGAGAAGCGACACGATATCATATCATTTGCTTCGTGAGACAATACACAAAGAGACAAACGAGCAAAAGGAAACGAAAACGATTGTACAATTCGCAAACCTCCGAAGGCACATTCCAGTTAAATTCTTTGAAGTAGTAGTAGTTGTTTAGGAATGGTACATTGATATAATCATTACTGGATGTAGGCTATGACCAGATATGTAGGTTATTAAATATGGTCATATCTCTGAGAAAAAAAAAACGTAATTAATCTTCTTGCGATAAACTATGTAAACGACATTTAATGCTTTCCTGAAATGCACGAAACATATAGAAGGGGGGTGGGTTAACGTTCTCGTATTTGATAATTTATTTATATTTTGCATATATATAAACTATATGTGTGTAGCAGTTTAGGACGAAGGGGGAACCGAGCGACAGAAGAACACCATTAGGATGACGATCTTCGCCACCCGACTGCCCGGTTCCCTCTTCATCCTAAAGTCCTACATGTATGTACAGGCAATGCTCTTCAAAATGTAAGGCCTTTTGCATAAAAATTAAGCCGTACACCCGTTTTACAAAGCGCACGACGATATCAATCGTGTTCTCTGTTCTATAAACGAGACAACTGACCAAGTGTGTCTCCGCTATAGATGGGGTGAAAGTAATCTCATTAATCGCGAAGAGAGGGAGAGCGGAAGAGAGAGAGATAGAGAGAGAAAGAGAAAAAAGAGTAACATTAAAGCACGTTGATGAAGGATATCCAGCATAATTATATAGCGTACAAAAAGAAGCGAGTATTTCGTGACCATCCTGGCTCGGTCCTTTTTTTGGAATCGGTTCATGGAACCGATCACGGGGAAAAAAAGAAAGAGAGAGAGTAGAGAAAGAGGGGAAAAAAGGAAAACTTGGGCTTCAGGGGACAACTTAAATTAAGCATGTAGTCACAATGGCTGTGTACCTCGGCGCAAAGTTTGATACCTTATTTTTATAATATATATCGAAAGTAATTTGTTGTTAAACCAACGAATGATTATACGATGAAAAAAAAAATACTAATAATAATAATGAGAAACATTGTTGTTTGATGTTTATGCAATTGGCCACTGAGTGGTCTTGCCTATGCGCGCCCCCGTATCAAATGTGTAGGCGTACGCGCAGGCTGACCGCGATCGAATGAATTTAGTTGTACCTGTTTTTTAGTTCGCGCTCGTCGAAATTTTTGCTATTTTTTTAAGGAACGATTCAGACTTATCCGGGACACAATTTTTCCATTGAGAAATGTTTAATGCGCTGCGTGAACACATACTGAAGCAAAACAAATATGTGCGTGTGTAAGAAGAAAAAAAAAAGAGAAAAAAACGGTCGTTTAGAGAAAGAAGACGAAGAATAATAATTAAACGATGAAAAAGCGTCGCAAGCGTTGTTTAACGGCTGTGTATATATATACATGTGCGAGTGTGTATATATATATATATATAAATATATAATATGTTTATGCGAGAACAAAGTACGCGTCTCCCGAGGTAAATTTCACGCGACGATGATGTACGATTGAAAGAAAAAAAAAGAAACAACGGGACGAATTTCTCTTTTTAAGTGCCGCGCGCGCGCGAGTGTGCAGGGCATGCATATATAAATATGAACTGATCCGTTCGTTGACAGCGCATAGTAATTTTTTGCGGGCCTCCAGATATTAACTCTGTACACGTCGCTACTCAAACAAACGAATAGGTAGAATGAGCTAAACAGAGAAGAATGCAAGTAACTCGAATACACTCGAGCAAGGACTCGTTTGCGAACGACAAATTATTGTGATAATTACATGTAACGCTTTCGTGAAACGGTACTCTCACACAGTTCGTTACTTAATTACGCACAGTAGAAGATGTTGCGAAGCAGTACGTGTGCATACGAAAACCACTGTATCCAACAACGTTTTCGCATATACCTTTCCAAACGGATTTCGCTCGACGAGAGAAAGAAAGAGAGATAAAGAGAGAGAGAGAATCTCCGAGGAACTTGTCGATTCGTTTCTAGGTTCACATGCAGTGTGTAGGACTTTATGATTCTTCTTTCGGACATTCAAAAGAGAACAAGTTAAAAGACCATTAAATAATAAATGAACGGACACACTATTAGGGTCGCGAGGAAAAGTGTCGTTCGCAGCCGGAAAACTCTTGTCTTTGCTCTTTGGACGTTGCGGATGCTTCACGCTCCTACTGTGTTAAATCTGACTGCACGCGTTGCAACGTCGGAGGTGAATAGTGATATAAATAATAGGAAGCGTATGCTACCGAGTATCGGGGAACTCTGAATACTCATACATTGCGTACGCCCTCTATTAAATCGTCCGGATTCTTTGAAATTCGTTTCTTCTTGGATGCTGCTTCCGAACCGCAGTCGAACAGAAGCTGTCCCGGTACGGGAAACCGATTCATATCATTTTTACCATCCTATCTTCGAGTATCGCTGAATGTTCTGCTAAGTTTTCGCTTGGATAACACAGCGAACCGGTCCCGATATATTATAGATATCGATTTTCTTTTAGTTGCAACCATAGAGAAACACAGACGAGTATTCAGTTCACTGTGTCCATATATATACATATACATATATATATATATCCTTGCGTTCGTACATGCAGCATTTTTTCCCC